TTGAGCTCCTGCTCTAGGCCGCAGCAGACAAGACCAAACTAAAAAGAAGTCACTCTTGTTAGGTGCCATGTAATCAAATGGAACTTAGAAATGGGCCAGTTTTCCATAAAACAGGAGATTCATAGCAACCAATCCAAAGAGGCCCAGTCAACCTGAGCTGGCATGATAATCTCCCTTACTGTAGCTCTATAAGGAAAATAATTTTGAAATGACCATTTTACTTTCTGCTTCTTGGTCCTGATTTCTTTAGCCTATAAAGCCCGTATCCTCTGCTTCGCTACTGAAGTACCCTTCTATTCTGTACACGGGATGCTGACCTATTTATGAATTGCTAATAAAAGCCAATTAGATCTTTAAAACTCAATTTGTTGAAATTTTGTTACATAACAGTCAAATGACTACTATGATATCAGGCCTGCTGGGGTAACCTCAGCCCAGGTGATAGAAGGACCACAGCAAGTCCTGCTATAACATACCCAGGACAAAGTTACTCCTGAGATTTTGAGCATGAGGACACTGGCCTAGCACTCTATGAGCACTGGCAATATAATGGGAAGGCTCTCTCATGTCAGTGCTGTTTGCATCCCCCAAATGTCACTTTGCAGTTTCCAAGATATTTCCTTGTAAACTTATGGAATGGAACTTCCCTTTTTGTCTGGAAATTTCAGCTGAAGGCTCCAAACTGAGAACAACTGGTAACAAATACCACCCAGCATTCTTAAGAGAGATTACCTCCTAAGGGTTTCATAAAAGTGGCCATACTGGCCCCTCAACTCTCATCTCCCATCATTCACGTTCAGCCCATGGAATAGAAGTACAGAGATTAATTGATTTGATGGGAAATTATAAGAGTAAGGAAAGTAATGGAGAGGGTTGCTTCTGCCTCCCACCCCTAATGAAATAAGTGAGGTGGCTATAAGAAAACCCCTCAGAGAATTTGGAGATGGTTGTATAAAAGGAGACTGTCACCCCACTTCCTATCTGTTTGCTCTGTGACTTGCAAAAATGTACCGACCCTCCCTTCTCCGGGCATGAGTGCATTCTTGGGAAAGTTTGACACGTGTCTCTAGAATGTAGGGACCCAAAGCCACTGCTTGACTTGCCCTGGAGAGGTCTGAAGATGCAAAAGGCTGGGTGGAGCATCCCTAGGGCAGGGTGAGGAGGAAGCGGAACAGTGGGACAGCAGAACAAGCTACACTTGCGTCATCTGGAGGGGCATTTGGAGGGGTGAGCGAGCAGTAATTCCAGGGAGCCAAGTAGACGCTGCAGCAGTAGGTTAGGCTAGAGCCATCTCAGACTGCCATCATCCAAGAAGTGTACCAGCTGGGGTGAGGAGACTCCAGGGGTGTGTTGTCTGAGGTCAGAGGCTAAGGGTCAGAAGTTGTTGGGAAAATGAATCTCTTACATTTGTGACTGGTACCGTAAGGGGCCCCCTGAAAAATCCACAAATGTGGCCTACAAAGGTTCCCTGATGGCCAGATTATAGCAGATACACCAGTTAAGTAAAACTCTATCCCATTTAATACTGCCCTTCCTCATCCCCTGGTTCCAAAGACCAAGAGGTAGGAGGAGGAAGACTCCTGCCCCCACCACACTGCTATGTCTGAGGGGAAGGGAGGAGGAAAGGTTTGATCAACATTGGATTGAATGTCTTAGCCCACGACAAACAGGTTGTTTCATTACCTGAAAGCAACCAGAAAGCTATGAGCCTGAAAGCTGAGATAGCATCAAGGTGTGGAGAAGGCAGACTTAACAGTGCATATTTGAAAGTAGATGCGGGAGAAGAAACAGAGCTGTTTTCTGGCCGTACCCTGCTCAGCCAGCCTACTCCAGGCATCTGCGGCACACAAAATCCCCTCTCACAGCCTCACCGGGTTAGCAGAGCAGGTGCGCTGGTCTCGCTTTAAAAGTGAGGAAAATGAGGCTCAGGGAAGCTCAGCAACGTGTGCAGAGGGTTGTGGATTCAGACCAGGGTCATCTGATCCCAGACCCTGTGACATCTCCACTACGCTGCGGTGCCTCTGTAGGTGAAAACTGATGTGCCCAAAGGCCTGGCCACTGCACGCCGAGGGTCATGGGGGCTGAGGATCATCTACCTTGCCTCCTCTGATTCAAAGGAGGTGTTCCATAGCTAGCAGTCAGGCCTCCCTCGCCTCCCGCTTTCCCTGTGCTGATGGAAGCAGCATTTCATTTATCCACGTAACACCTTGCTACTAAGGACTGCACGTACTGCCCGTGCCTCCACTAAGCGTTGGCCTTCCTTTGACAACAGACTTATACAGTGTCCTGTCATCACCAAAGCTTCAGGAGCTGCCCAAAAAGGCTCCTCTGCCTCTACAGAAAAGGAACAAGTATATTCATAGTTTCGATTTTTATGCATTAGCTGAAAATAGGGAAAACTTGCATTTTTTCTGAGCACACAAAAAGGATTGATTTCTCCAGAAGAAACACGAAGAAAGAACAAACCCAACTTTGCTGTCAAAGCAGGCGCCTACCTCAGCATGGCACCAAATCCCTTCTTCTTCATTTTCCTTTCCGGGTCATCATTCTCCTCCTTGCGCTTTTTTTCCTTGACTTTCAACTTGCCCTTTTCCTTTTTCTTCTCCTTCTCTTTCGTTTTTTTGACTTTTCTGGCTTTATTTTCCATGTCCTCTAGCTCAGAGTTTCCCTGAGGGGCAGATTCACAATTCAGAGCTCCATGGCCAGAATGAGAGCTCTTATCAGACAACCCGTCTGCACAGAGAAAAAATAATCAATACGCATGGTTGGGGTGCTTGAAGTTAGTATACAAAGAAAAGCTAAAAATGTAAAATACAGAAGAATGAATAAAATCGCTCCCGAGTTCTGCCCTTCTGTGTAGGTACTTGCACCCTTTGAAGATATCACTGCCTAAATCTGGTTACTTCAAGCTAGGTTGATGCTGGGAGGGGGACGACTGGTTTGCTTGGTGGTGTGAAAGGCTTGCTATGTGGTACAGCCCTAATCTCTCTGAAAGCTGGCTTGTTAACCTTGATCAGCTCAGAAAGCCCACATGCTGGGAAACAAACAGGGCAAATTTCTTTGGAGGAGAGGTTTTTGAGTACAAATATAACCCAACTGCTTCTACCCAATTAATGCAGTCAGAGTCCTGGATTGATGCTGCCTCTAACGACTCCAATGAGAATGTCAAGAAACGCATACTTAGTGCTCCTTCCCTAAGGGTAAATGACAGTTGGTCCTCATAGAAAAGTGAAGGAGAACATTTCTTTCGCATTGCACTGTAAAATAAATTGCATATTGCATTCTCCAATTCCACGTTCATTAAGCCAAAGGGCAAAACATATCAGGAAATGAATTACTTTTAATATCAAAACTATAATTGTGATCCCTAAATCATTTTTTCTCTGTAGTTAAGCACACATTCTTGCTTATGATTTGCAGATAATAATGAGATGAAGAAACCATTTAAGGAAACATTATCACCCTACCAGCTTCTAATTCTTCGGGTCCATCGTAAGATTTGTCTATGGCTGCTCTGAAGCTCTCGTTGCAGCCTCGGCCCCGAACCATGTGTGGTCGGGGCCTGTGAAAGGGAAGTTCATTCTTCCTGACCTCGGCCACAGCGGTCTGCAGACTCTCCAAGGAACTGGACTTTTTCAAACCCAGAGTTGGACCAAAATCTTTGCTTGGAGATTCTGGAAGAGAAAGGGTAAAAGGTCACTCTTCTCCTAATGGGTCGTGTGACATAATGAAAATGCTTGTTGTTCTAAGAATATTTCTGTTTGGGCATCTTAAAAAAGGGGTGTTAAGTGGGTAGGAGTTGGAGTTAAACTCAGGTTTGCTACCTTTTGTAAATCTCAAGCAAGTGGCTTGACTTCTCTGAGCCTCAGTTTCCTTTTCTAAAGTTGTGGTAAGATTTAAAATGACAATATATATTACATATAGAAATTTGTATGTACATATGTCTATATGCACATGCATGAATCTGAAAGGTTATAGCTATCTGTAGAGATTATATGTGTGTATGAGTGATTATGTACAAGAGTATATATGCACATATGTACATGCATACATATACACACATGCACACACATAGCACCTAACATAATGAGTATTTCCCTTCTAGTACCCATCCTAGGAAACTCCCACATGTGATAGCTTTTATTATTTCCATGGTTGTTTTTACGATTATTAAGGAACATACTGTGCATGGAAATCAAAGAACATTGAAGTGATTGTGATTTTGTGATTAAACACTTTATCTTACCCTAGTGGCTATTAACGTGTGGTAAATGCAATTTATTTAATCAATCAATAAATAAAGCGAAGCAAGAAAGAAAACAACTTTTCTGTGTCAATGCTCTCATTCTGAATGTATTCCTATTTAGGTATTTAGAAAAAGGGCAACCTTTTTATATGACATAAAATTACAAAAGAGAAAAAACAACCCATACATGAATTTTTATAATCTCCTTTCTGATACTCAGTGTCTTTCATTTGCACGGTTTGTCTAGCCCTGTGCCTGCCCCCTCCCACTCTATTCCTTGACTCCCGTTCCGACCTCCAGCCTGTCCCCCAATTACCAATAACAGGATTGGATTAGTCTGTATAAATATTAGCAGCACAAGGATTATTTTTAAAGATAGAAGAAATTCCATCAGGGCTCTTGTGTCCACATTCAAAGCTTCTCCACCAGGGCCAAGGCTCACGGCCCTCTGCAGTTACAAAGGAGATTATTGTCATGAAGGAGCTATACTGGCATTTCTGGAAATAAACTAATGCACAGTTTTTCAATAGATAGAGACTGAGTACAAATTAAGGATTATGTACATAAAGTACCTACTTCAATGCCCAGCACACAGTAAGGCTCAATAAATGGCACTGTCTTTTATTACCATCACTACTTTTGCTTCTACCACTACAACTGCTGTGAGCCCTACTATTAGTTGCTTAACACAGTATTAGGTAATACCAGGAATATAAAAGAAGTACAACAAAGGCCTAATATATATACACCCACATAAAGTTAAATAGCAATATACACCCTTCCAGATGTCCTGAACATGTTAAAAGTAGTCAAAATAATGGCAATAATGCCAACAGCTAGCAATGCATGGAGTGCTCAGTCTGTGCCAAGCACTATTCTAAGTGCTTCACCTATATGAACTTACTACCTATATGAACTTACTATAATCCTTGCAGTTGTCCTACTGGCATTACTACTGTTAGCCTCGTCTAACATGAAGAAATTCAGGTATAGAGCAGCGAAATAACTTGTCTGATATTAGACACTTAATAAGCGGCCAAACTGGAAACCGACCTGCCAGAGCCTGACTGCAGCGTTTCGGCTCCATGCCATATACTTTACTGCCTGAATGTATATTTGGTCTCCACCCTCTACTTGATTATGGTCAAGCTACTTAAACCGGCCTACATATCCCTCATCTCTAAAATAAGAAAATCTGTTTAGATTAGCACAGGAGCCTAGTCAAGAAGGCAGACTACAAAAATTGGATGTTCCTTTCGAGTTACATCATTAACATTACAAGAGGTAATTTTGCACTTTGAACAATATACATGATGACAATAAACACTGCTTTTTACAGGTGACAGTATATGTGCAGTAAATGCAACAGAGATAAGACTAAGCCAGAAAGATTATAAGAAATTTGGGGGACAAATTTCAGGTGTTACTTGCAAGTCACAAATACTGAGGATATGTATGTTACTATTAAATCCAGAAAGAGGCATATTTCTTATATTCCCAGGAAGGAAGGTAGTTGAAGAAACAGAAATTGAATGAGATCATTTCTGACAAGAAAACAAAAGGCAACATAGCAGTTTAGGAGTATTGCAGCAACAGTAAAAGCTTTGAAGTTCACAGAAAATATTTTACACCATCAACCCCTAGGGATGTCTGACATGAAGTTTGGGGAAAACGTGAAGATGAAAACTATCTGAGAAAGACTAGATCCTTTGTCAACAACAGTAACCATCTTTTATTTATTAATTGCCATCCAGGAGATTATGTTAGAGCCCAAGCTGTAAGCATTCATGTCAACCTTTGGCAATAGAGTCCAAGGAACATGAAAGTGAATAAATCGTCCAAGATATAAAGCATGCTATCTAAAAGGAGCTCATCTAAAGCTCAGCAAGAAGTTATATCTGAGAAGGAACAAATACATTGTTATTCATTCTAAGCAAACTGAATATCAAGGATTCATGGATTTTGCAGGATTAATAGAGCTGGCAATTAATTCACTTTTTATAACTAGAAGGCACAAATCAGAAGTACCAATTGACGTCGGGCAGCATTACAGCCTAGCTCTATTCAGTGGAATACATTGTAAAATTAAAAGCAAAAAGGGCAGATGAGTTCTAGGTTGTAAATGTGGACTCAAGGGTTTTCAGGCTTGGAAAAAAAATTTCTATTTATTCCCGGAGAATAAACAGGATGCAGCAATAGATGAGAGACTGGTGTTAGAGAGGAGAACCCCAAATCAGGGAAGTCCTTGCAAGGACGTGTGAGTGCAGGGGACCGACTGAATCGGGGGCTCTGCCAAGCACTTGCACCAGGGCCCCACGTGTTCTCGCTTCTGACAGAAGGTCCAGGTTACCAGCTGCAGAGGGATTTTTATGTCAGTTGACGGGCACCAGTGTTAAATGCCAACAGAATATTTGGAACAAAGTACCTTCTCACGCAAAGATTACGTGGAGTACAATAAATTGTCACGTTCAATCCCTCTTCCCTACTCCTACTCTCACCAATTTCAGTTTAGGTCGACATCGCGTAGGAGATTTTACAGCTTTTAGAATGGGAAGATTCACTATCAATTTCCAGCCTCACCATTTACACAAATCATATTTTTTTCTAGGTTTCCACCAAAAGTAGAGGTCTCTTTGAAGTGAGTAATTTATCAAAATCAAAACCTCAGTCACTCAATCCCATTGAGGTCATCCCAAAGTATGTAACTGTTCCCATTTTCATCTGTAGCTGATGTGGTATTGGCTGGGGCTGATTTTAAACAATTGTCTGAGAGAGTGATCTATGAATACCATGTGTTATCAGTCATGGGATGGACCTTGTCCAAATTTGAGCATTTACTTGCCCCACTTTGAGCATCTACAGAAACAATCCGAGTATGACTATTCAACGATTTCCAGGCCAGCTTAAGTTAGTTGCAAATGCCAAGGCATAAATCTTTCCCCAAATTCCAGTAGCAAGGCTTTATTTTTTAACCTATGACTTCATATCCAGTGACCATGTTCTCTAAGATCTACTTGAACTTACCTTTCCCTCACAGACATGAACTTGACATATACTAACTTCATCAAATAAAAGACACAATAATTATCAAGGGTGCTAAAAGGAAGATCTTGTATGATTTTGATAAAAATTATTCTCAAGGTGCTCTTATAAAAATATTCTTAACATCATGTACCAAATTTTCTCTTAAAATTATAGCACCACAAAGAAATACCACTGAAAGTTTTAAAAAAGTTGTTATAGCACTTTTGAAGAGTCCCTGTTCCCAAATGAAGGATTGGCTTGACTTGGTCCAGGAAGGCTTCCCCATACAGAGCAGAGGGAAATTCAGGGTCATGTCTTCTGGACACACCAATCCTCAGATACATCCATTATTCCTTTCCATCCAGAAAAACAGTGTTATGAACAGAATGGACGCGCACACACACCCCAAGACTAAAGATTTAAAAGAGTTGTGCCAGGAGAAATGCCCACCATTTCTCCCTTGGGCATGCGAAAGGTGGCGAGAGGCCCCATAGAGCACTGCCATCTAGGTGGAGAGGTGCTCCCTGGAAACAGATTCTGAAAATACTTAGAAACTGCTGCTCCACCCTTTTAGGCAGAAAGTCTCATTTCCACATACCATGGAACAGAACGTCCTTCCTAAAGGGAGGATTGTTTGGATGTGGACCTCAGTTTCTCTGACTCAGTCTTAGACTCCTGCCCCTCCCCTGCAGGTGAGGACTGCTGTTGGTTCTCTACAGGCAGCTGATTAGGAATAATAGAGAATAAAGCTTTCTGGAGGGTAGTGGTTAACAGTGAACCATTAAAAGGAGGCTGTGTATATTCAAACTCTCCCCACTCTGCTGATTACTTCTTGAGTCACTAGACTCTCTGTGCCTCGGTTTCCTTATGTGTAAAATGAAGCTAAGACAAGCATAAAAGAGTACCTGGCACATAGTGCATGCTCATAAAGCATTGGTGATAATTATTATCACTGTCACTTTTGTGCCACCTCTAAACATTTGACTGAGTGAAGTCCTAAAGCAATTGATTTGGTTCAATCCATCATTGCATTCTTAAACATGATAATGCCTTCCACAAAAAGCTGAAAAGGATGTCTAAAGAAATACTATCCTTTTTATTCAAAAATTACACTGGTTTTATTTCAAACAACTCCTTACATTTCTTCTTTTGAAATAAGGTAAATATATTCATCTGTTCATCACATATAGGGAGGCTATTCTTGGGAAGATTAATAGTAGAGTCTCGGTTGCCCTTCCCTTTAGGCTATAATCACTTAATTAGTCTGAGATTTAATTGGCAATGTTTGAACTTCCCACTCTAGCATTAAAATCTCACAATAAAAGAATGCCTTAATCCAGAAGACCAGTAATTGGATCTTCCATTATTGATGAAATTGCTTCCAATACATCCCGTATTAAAAAA